ATTTCATTTTGATTTTGGTACTGAAGCCAAAGATGTTGAGGGAGCTGAAATGCTTCCTGGACTGGCTGTGGCTGTGGAGCCTGGAATTCTGCCATAAAGAGCATGTGTGAGAGAGCAAAATGTTTGTGTACTTTCCTTATGTGAAGGAGTTGGGAAATAATCTAAGAAGCCCAATCCAAAAGCAAAGATGTTCCATCCAGTCTTCTCTGTGAGAGCCAAACTATAAACCATCTGAGTGTTCCAAAAGTGTTTTGATGATATATTGATGTATTTTAAATTACCCTGAAAATGTTCTTGGCAGATGCTTAAACGTGTAATTACTGAGATGATGTAGAAATGCAAAGTGTTTATTAAAACAATATAGAGTAATACAAATAGTATGCTTGTTGCCATATAAAGCTATCTAAAAACTAAAGAGTTCTTTAATGGTGGAGAGTTTTTTCCTTTTTGAAGTTAAAACATAAATTTTTGTAAAAAACACAAATGATTACTATTTATACCTAACATTTATGGAGTGCTGACTATGCTAGCTTTTGAGCATACATTGCCTCATTTTGTGCAATGCTTAGCATTAACTTATGAGGTAAATACCATTGCTGTGCACATTGTACAGATGAAGACACTGAGGTTTAGAGAGATTGCATAGATTTCCCAACGTAACACAGCAAGTAGTGGGGCCAGGATTCCAGGAAGCCTAACTCTGGAGTTTAACAACCGAAAGAATAATAATAACAACTAATATCCTTGTCACTCTCAGCATGTGCCAGTTGCTGTTCCAAATGGTTCAAATTATGTATTCATGTAAACCTCAGAATAACTCTATGAGGTATGTTCTAACATTATTTTCATTTTATAGACATATATTTTGTATGTGTATGTCAGCCTTAAAGCCACTTTTGAGTTTTTTAGCATATGTTTTGAGAACATGTCAACTTTATTTCCATTTAAATTGCTTGAGACACAGCATGATTGTTTATATAGTCACTGGAAATTTTATTCCCAGCTGTGTATCTCCCTGGAGTCTTTGACTTACTCCCATGTGGGGAGGAGGTGCTTCGCATCTGGACACACCTGCCATCCTGGAGCCTCCCCACCCTCATCCTGGGAATCCCTTCCCTCTCTCCAGGGTGAGAGCGTCAACTTGTCAGATATCACATTTTTCTTTGAATTAATTATCAGTTTGGGGGAACTTCATTAGTTATCTTCTGGAGAAAAGGTACACCAAGGCATACATTTATTGAGCTCTTTTATGTTTCTATTGGATTTCTATTCTGCTGGGATGATTTTCAATTCTCTTTTTTTTTTTAAATTTTAATTTATTTATTATTATTATACTTTAAGCTGTAGGGTACATGTGCATAACGTGCAGCTTTGTTACATATGTATACTTGTGCCATGTTGGTGTGCTGCACCCATCAACTCATCATTTACATCAGGTATAACTCCCAATGCAATCCCTCCCCCCTCCACCCTCCCCATGATAGGCCCCGGTGTGTG